TGCAATTATCTGTTTTTATTGGCATTTTATTCTGAGCTGATGCCATAGATACTAAGCCTCTTTCAGCCTGTCTTTTAAAGGAGACTCCCACCATCTTCTTTATTACCTCCAACTCTATACATCAGTACCTGTGGGTGGTTCTCTACTAAACATTAACAAATATGGGATAAACTCTGTGACATCATTTCAAATAACATTATATGCATGCATTAGACGTGAAACATGTTTACTCCATGGTGAATAAATAAAGGAAAGAAAAAGCATTTGTCATTGTCTGAGGTTTTCTTGGCACCTATACTGGAGTGGTTTGCTCCAGCTCATTTTTACAGATGAGGAAACTGAGGCAAACAAGGTTAAATGACTTCCAGTGTCACACAGCTAGTAATGTCTGAGGCCAGATTTGAATTCAGGAAAATGAGTCTTCTTCACTTCAGGCCTGGTACTCTATCCACTGTACCCCCTAGCTGCTATCATGGTGCTTTATAAATGTTTGTTGACTGAGGTGCCATTTTTAATGAGAAGCCTAGACCCCCAATTGTTAGTTCTCCCTCCCTTTCAAATGATTTGCATTTGCTTGGTGACATAAACTCTGTATCCCCTATCCCACCCTACCTTGAGGTCAGGGACTATCATTTCATTTTTCTTTTCATCCCTAGTTCTGTACTGCTTAATAAGCACTTGTATTGAATTGAATTTAAATGGGCATTTGTTGGATTAAGTGAGTTTCTGTGGTTGCTCTGTGCCAAGCACTGTCTTAAGTTCTGGAAATACAAACAGAGAAAGCTAGACAGCCTCTGCTTTCCAGGAACATACTCTTTAATTGGGGGAAACAACACGTAAAAGAAAGTTTGGCTACAGGATCAATGAGAAAGCCAAGATATTCTAAGAGTTCCAACTGGTGGGGTGGATAGCAGGGCCCAGGGGTCTCTGGGCTACATCACTGGGTCAAATGAGAATGTAAGGGGTTAGCAGGGTATAGAGGTAAGGCCAGATGGGAAGGCCTGGTGGTCCTCCGTCTCACCGAGAGGAATAGAGTTGAGAATTCCCATCCAAGTCTTAGGAGCAGTCAAGCAGCCCAAATGGGTTGTGGGTAGCCTCGGCCTGTGGGAGGGAGCAAAGAAAAGAAGAGGGAAGAAGTACATCCTCAGCTGTGTTAGGTCTTCCTGCCAGACCAGCCCAATGGATTTCGGGTGGTTGGACCCAAAGAAGTCAAGGGGGAATTTCTGCTTAGTTTTAAAAGTTTCTAACAAGTTTAACAATTAGTCCATAAATATTTATGAAGCACCTACTGTACGTCAGACACTGTGCTAAGTGCCGGGATACAAAAGAAAAGAAAAAGAGTCTGCCTTCTTGTGCCAGACTGGGAAAGTTTTATAACAGATAAGCAAACATCTGATTAGGATAGTACAAAAAGTCAACATGTCTTCATCAATAACAGGTCACCACAGGCTAATTTCATTTCTTTTTTTGACAGGATTACTAAGCTAGTAGATGAGTGAATGCTATGGATAGAGTTTTACCTAGATTTTAGCAAAGCTTTTTTGATAAGGTAACTCTTAATAATAGCACTTGATTTGTGCCAAGCACTGTACTGGGAGCTTTATAGTTATCGCATTTAAGCCTCACAACAACTCTGGGAGGTAGGGGCCATTATTATCCTCATTTTACAGATGAGGAAACTGAGGCAAATGGAGGCTTCAGTGACTTGTTCAGGGTCATATAAGTAGTATGTATCTGAGGCTAGATTAAACTCAGGTCTTCTGACTCCAGGCCAGTGTTCTATCTGGCTGTACCACCTAGTTGCCCATAATATTCTCATAATATTCATGTACAGAAGATGGGAGAGATATGGGTTAGATGATAATAAAATTACATGTGTTCAGTATTGGTTAGATTGCCAGAATATGGCAAGAGATTTCTAGTGGAATACCCTAGGGATTTCTACTTGGCCTTGTGCTGCTTAACATTTTTGTCACTCTCTTTCCTTGCTCAATGAATTCAATACATGGCTCACAACTTTTCTCTCTTCCCCAACTCCTGCCCTCATCTTAGGGGATTTCAATGTATGTGTTAACTTTCCTTCAAATACCTTAACTACTCAGTTCCTCAACCTACTCACTTCCCATAAGCTGCTCTTCCACCCCATCTCAGCCACATACAAAGATCTTGCCATAGCCCACAAATGTACTGCCACTCCTGAGTTCATAAATTCCAAAATCCCTTTATCTAATCATAATCGATTGGCTTGTCACCTTTCCCTCTGCCTTCCCTTATAAAACTCTACAGTTCATCTGCACCATGTTCTCCAATCCCTTGATCCCATCTCCCCTTATCTTGCTACCCTCTCCTCTTTTCCTCATCTTGACCCCTTAGTGAACTAATTCAATTCTTCCCTGTCCTCTTCTCTTGAATACCTCACCCCCTTATCATATAGCCAATTATGCCCAGCCTAATTTTATCCTTGGATCGTTCCCACCACAGGAGCTGCGTTTGCTCCTACATATATTCTACTGAGTGAAGATGTAAAAAATCATACAACCATTTTGTGTCCACTCCACAATTATGTTTCACAACCTCAACTGAGCCCTCACTGCTGCTAGACCATCCTACTATACCTCCCTTCTCAACTCACTATCCCATTCTCTACAGTGGCTCTTCCATTCCTTTTTATTCCTACTCAAACCTCCTACAGATCTCCCTCCCTCTACTTAGCAGAGAACCTGTCCTTATACTTTATAGATAAATTTGAAGTTATTTGCCATGAGTTTCCTCTTTTTCCCTCTTCTTCATCTCCTATCACTCAGATGCCTTCTGTCACTATCTCCCCCTTCATCCTGTCTCACATAATGAAGTGGCCTTCTTCTTTCCCTGTACTTGTCCAGGGGCTTTCATTCTACCCCATCTTCTCCAACAGATTGTGCCCTCTGTCATCCCCACTCTTTTACTTATTTTCAATCTCTCCCTGTCTACTGGCTCATTCCTTACTGCCTGTAAACATGCCCATGTCTTCCCCATCACAGGATCCTTCTATCCCCAGAAACTATCTTGCTCTCTCTCTTCTGTCCTTTGTAATGAGGCCATCTAGAATAGGTGCCTCCACATCCCTCCCATTCTCTTCTAAACTCCTTACAATCCAGCTTCTGACCTTATCATTCCACCGAAACTGCTCTCCCCAGTGTTACTAATAATCTAATAACTGCCAAACCCAATGGCCTCTTCTCAACCTTCATTCCCCTTGACCTCTCTACAGCTCTTGACATGGTTGACCATTCTCTCCACCTTGATAAACTTTTCAATTTAGGGTTTCAGGAAATCACTCCCTTATGGTTCTTCTACATATCTGGCCTCTTGATGCTGGGAACCCCAAAATGTCAGGGTACAGGGCAAGTCTGCTGGAAAGAATTCAAGTACTCAAACCTTCTTTCAGTCAAAGTAGCAAGGTTTATTGTAACACCAAAAGTGCAGGAGATTCCTAGTGAATCTGCAACTTAATGGGGGTGAGATTGATACTTACGTACAAAAAAAGGACAGTGAAAAGATCTGGGTGGGATTAAGGTGTAGTAAATCCCTGGGATGGGCCAGGTGTAATAGTGAAAGGAGTATTAAGTAGTCTGGGGTGGGCCAAGAGCCATAGTGAAAGGACTGTCAAGTATCTAGTTGGGCTGGGGTGGGCCAGATGCCTCAGGTGAGAGGCCTCACCTGGGCTCCTCTGGGCTGCTGAAATGCATGGGAAAATTCAGGGACTGGGCTGCTTTCAAAGATGTGGTCTTTTCCTTTTCGGGGTCCAGGTCACATCACTCTCATCTGTCTTTTGCTGTATCTCTCTCATATCATGCCCTCTAGCTGTGGGTTGTCCCTCAGGGCTTTTTCCTGGGCCCTCTTCTCTCCCTCCATGCTATTTCACTTGGTGATCTCATGAGCTCCCATGGTTTTACTTACTATGCTGATGATTCTCAAATCTGCCTATCCTGTCCCAAACTGTGCTGACCTCAAATCTTGCGTTTCTATCTGACTTTCAAACGTCTTGAACTGGATATCCAGTAGACGTCTCACATTTAATCTGTCCAAAATGGAATTTGTTATCTTTCCCCCTACACCCCCTCCTTTCCTTTCCCTATTACTGCAGAGGGCATCACCATCTTCCTAGTCCCACAGGCTCACAGCCTAGGAGTCTTGCTGGATTTCTTACCATCTCTCACCTCTCATTCCAATCTACTCCCAGAGCCTGTCGATTTCATCTCTGTAACATCTCTTGAATAAGCCCCCTTCTCTCTGACACTGCCACCACTCTAGTACAGGTCCTCATCCCCTCATGCCTGGAACCTGCTGGTGGGTCTGCCTGCCTCAAATCCCTCCCCTCTCCATTTTATCCTCCATTCAGCCACTAAGAGGATTTTCCTGCAGTGAAGTTCAGATTATTTCACCCCTCTCCTCCCGTAATAAACTCTAGTGGCTCCCTATTCCCTCCAGGATCAAATGCAAAATTCTCTATTTGGTATTCAAAGACCTTCATAACTTAGTCCTCTCTCACCTTACTACCTGTAAGGGAGTACTTACTCTTTTATCTAGTGACATTGGTCTCCTGGCTGTTCCAGAAACAAGACACTGTAGTTCTCGGCTTGGGCATTTTCTCTGGCTTTCTTCCATGCCCGGAATGCTCTCCCTCCACCTCTCCACCCACTGACCTTCCTGGCTTCCTTTAAGTCCCAACTACAATCCCGTCTTTTACTACTTTCGGCCAGAGACAAGGTTTATTAGAGATCTGTCATATTAGTCAGACTCTTAAGGGGTCTGAGCATCTGTGAGCTCTTGGCTGATTCTAAGAATCTGAGCACCTTAGTGGAGACTAGATGGACCTTATGTACAGAAAGGATACGGGAGAGATCTAGGCGTGGCCAAGTAGTCTACAGGGACTGTGAGGTAATAGAACTCTAGGGACCTGTACCACGTGGCCAAGGAGGGAGGAGGGAGAGAGGGAGGAGAGGAAGGAGGAGGGAGAGAATAGGAGTATGGAGGAGGAGTAAGGGGAAGAGGAGTTCCAGGGAGGGGGGAAGAGGGGTGAAAGCAGAAGGACGAGATCGGAGGAGGAGGCGCTGTTCAGGCTGCCGGTGCTGAGCCGCTGCTGCGGGCGCCGGCCCGCAGAGTCCGAGATGCATCCCAGCGGCTGGGTGTCGGTGATGCTGCTCCTGGGGTTCGCTCTGCATCTGATCGGGCTCCCCGCGCCGCTTTCGGGGTGCCCTCTGGCGGTGACGGAGGAGAAGCCACCTCGCAAAGTCCTGACGCTCGACCTGAACAGGTCCAAGGTGCAGGAGGTGAGCCTGGCTTTCCTCTCTATCACCATCGACTCCAACCTGATGACCAACCCCGGATACATTGCCTTCCTGAGGTAAGCTGCTGACATTCGCCGGGCCCCTTTCCTCCCTATGCCGTCTGCTTTCTCCTTGTTTCCTCCCTCTACACCTGAACGCTGTCCGCTGCTCTCCCCAGAACTAAATACTTTTTTGCTTCTTTGATCAGCAGCAACTTTGTTCTCCAGTCGCGTTTCTAGGCACTTTCGGACTGCCTTTACCGTCCTGGGCGAAATCACCCATACTGAATTGCTTTTTTTTTTTTAATGTGCAGAAGTGGGTTGGGCTACCACAGGTGCTCCTATGGACCCCTCCCCCCAAGGGGTTTCTGGATAGGTTTCAGGAAGTCTGTGAACTTGGATAGGAAACTTGGCATTTCCTTCAATGTTTAAATACGTTATTCTGAGATGGGGTCCATAAGTTTCACCAGACTGCCAAAAAAGTCCCCCGCGCCTGCGGGACACACACACACACACACACACACACACACACACACACACACACACGTGCTGGCGCGCGACCTAGAAGATCTCCAGCGCTAAAGATGCAGCAATCAATGAAATACATGGAAGAAACTGGTCTCAGTAAGTGACCTTTCCCTGTGGAAAATGGCTGGCCAGAAAACACTTTGGTTATTTCCAATGTCTAGCACTGTGCTTTGCATAAAAGAAGTGCTTAATAGATAACTGTTGAATTATTACCTCAACTCCAGTTGAGTTCTTGGAAAGGGGGTTCACTTCTAAACTTAAATGCAACATGTCCAAAATTGAATTCATGATCTTACCTTCCAAACCTTCCTTCTTCCGTATTACTATTAAAGATATCAACAGAGAAAACTTAATCCAATCCCCTCATTTTACTGCTAAATAAATTGAAGCTCAATGAGTTTAACTGACTTGCCTGACAGTCCAGTTCTGTGAATTTCTCAAAGCTCTGTGAATCTGATGAGTATGTAGGACATGTATTTCTTCAGTGTTTAAGAGTACTTATTTAATGCTTCTAAAGGTACGTTGGCTAGACACATTTCACTAGTGGTGTTATTGCATTAATCAAAGTTATCATTTATAATACTCTGAATACTGTAAAATTTTCCTCTTCTGCAGTTTGGAACTATGCCCAAAGGGCTATAAAACTGTCCATACCTTTGATCCAACAATACCACTACTCGGTCCTCTTGTATGTCATGGCATCACCTGCAGATGTCATCATCCTCTTGGAGAAGGGAGGACTGACAGCATCAGCAAGAAAGATATCAGCATCTTCCCAGCCACCATCATCATCTCCTACCCTTCGCTCTCTCACATCCAATCTGTTACCAAGTTCTATCGATTTTACCTTCATAGCATCTGCTATATATCCCCTTCTCTCCTGATGCTGCTACCATCCTCATCACCTCATGCCTAAACTATTCACTAGCCTGATGATGGGGGGGCCTGCCACAAGTCTCTCCTTTCTCCAATCCATCCTCCTCTCATCTGTTAAAGTAATAACAACTCTCATTTCCAGGTTAACAGTACTTATGATATATTCATTGACATACCAGATCTTGTGGTAGCCTTTGGTGGTTAAAAAAACAGGAGGGAGGAAGGAAAAATGATCAGATAGTCTCTGCCTTTAAGAAGTTTACATTCTATCAAAGGGCATGGTCACGTGGAAACCTGGACAAAATAAATCTGATTTCAGGGGTGAGAGGCACTAGCTAGGGGACTTATTAGAAAAGGCATAATGTAGGAAGGGGCAGCTAGGTGGTGCAGTGGTTGGACCATCGGCCTTGAAATGGGAAGACTCGGGACAGCCTGATGGTGTAGTGGGTAAAGCTCCAGCCTTGGAGTCAGGAGGATCTGAGTTCAAATTTGGCCTCAGACACTTGACACTTACTAGCTGTGTGACCCTGGGCAAGTCACTTAACCCCAATTGCCTAAAAAGGAAAAAAAATACAAAAAAAAAGAAATGGGAAGACTCATCTTCCTGAGGGATTTGACTTCAGTTTGTTCCCAGAGGGCAAGTTTGGAGTTGATGTCAGGAAAATCTCCCTAGCAGTTAAAGCTGTCCAAAAGTGCAATAGGCACTTTTGGACAGCTTTAACTGAGAGGTGGCAGCTTTCTGCTTGGAGATCTTAGAGCCATAGCTAGATGTTAGGGATGGGAGAGCGGAACTCATAGGGGGGATTCTTTCATATATGGGTTGGCCTAGATGACTGCTGAGATCCTTTCCAACTCCCAGATTCTAGGCTTCTCCATTTCTATTACTGGATCTGCAAACACTATATTTTTATTAACTAACAAATGAAAACAAACTCACTGACCCATCAACTAGATTTTCTCAGTGAAAATATACTTTTTACTAATTTGAGGAAATCCTGCTTCTCAGTTCCCAGAGGCTTCGAACCTTAGCCAGAGGCTTATCTCCTGCCTACTTGAGATTTGGTGGCACCAAGGCTGACTTCCTGATCTTTGACCCAGAGAAGGAATCAACCTTTCAGAAAGGAAGTTACTGGGAAGCTCAAGTCGACCCAGGTGATTTTTTTAAAAAAATAGTATTTTTCAACATATAGTTGCATCTTCTTGAGTTAGTCCTATGTTTGCCTTGTTTGCTGTGTTTTTGTTTCATTTGGAGAAATATGGACAGTTGCATATTCCATATTACATGTTGCACAATATTACATATTACAATTACATATTATGATGGCGATACCTCCTCTTGACCTATTGCAAAAGCCTGGAACCAAGTGGGAAATGCCCCACATTCTCTTGCATCCCTTGCTAATTTTTCAAACTCTAGAAGGTACACAGTGGCGTGTATCAAAGGCTATTGACAATGCAGCTTATTAACAGTGCAATACAGGTGCAGGAATGATGTTTTCTTGGAGAAAGCATAAAAGTGGGAATGGTTGAAAGTGAGAATTATTATAAGTTTAAGATACATAAAATGGGATTTTATGCATGTTTACACTTAAAAAAGGTCAGCGATGTGTGCTTTTAAAGGTGTAATCAAAATGAAGGTGCTAAGTACTATATTTCTACTTCAAGTGTGTGTCCACTGCCAAATTACAATTGCTAAGGAATCAGCGGGAGAATTCACATTGAAATATGTTTGAGATAAATATTTATTTTAAATGTTTTTATAGGTTTATTTAAGTACCTCAGCCTTTTTCTCAAGAAGTAGCTAGGAAGATTGGGAACATAGGAAATGGGTCCACCAGCTATGAAGAAGTAAGGGTTGATTTGAAAAAAAAAATTTTAATTTTTAAAAATTTAATTAATTTAATCAATTTTAAATTTAAGTATAAAATATATTTATATTTATAAAATAAATATTAAAATATTAAATTTAAACTAATTTTAATTTAATTAATTTAAATTTTAAATTTAAAAAAAATTAATGATTGTTGGGGCAGCTAGGTGGTGAAGTGGATAGACCACCAGCCCTAGAGTCAGGAGGACCTGAGTTCAAATCCGACTTCAGACACATAACACTCACTAGCTGTGTGACTCTGGGCAAATCACTTAACCCCAATTGCCTCACAGAAAAAAAAAAATTAAAGATTGTCTTAGTCCTTTCCCAATCAGTCAAACACTTAAAATCTTTCTGGTTAATTGAAGAAAAAATACTGTGGACAAGAATACTTTTTGTTACTTTAGATAGAAAAATCTGTCTTTTATTCATCAAGAAACCCTGGGTGTCCTCTTGCTCCTGCTGAAGCCACTGGTATTATTTATGCTGTTCTTAGAGCATGCTTTTTGGTCCCAGGGGTAGCCAAAGGACCAGATTATGCAGCTTTGATGACAAGAAGTCATCTGAATGTCACTGCACATGACTGCAGGCAGCTGGTGCCACAGTAAATAGAGAACTGGGCCTGAAGTCGGGAAGACCTGACCCTGAGACTTTTGTTTGCCTCAGTTTCCTTAACTGTGAAATGGGATAATAACAGCACCTACTTCCCAGGGTGGTTGTGAGGATCAGATGGGACAATATTTGTCAAAGTGTTTGGCACACAGTGCACTCTATAATTTGCTTATTCCCTTCCTCCCTTGTCTGTCTCGGGATAAGCATCATAATCATGATGGGGAGCCTAGGGGAGCCTCTTATCCCATTCATTTCTTTGGCAACAAGAAGGGCACCAACTTTAAAATAAAGTGCCAGCACTCCTGACACTGGCATCCTTCCCCACGTCCATTGTCACCCCTGTCCTAGAATCATGGGGTTCAGGAGAGAGCAGATACATGCAAACAAACTTAGAATTTCACAGTGTTTTTCTTTTGAACGAAAGGTCATATAATGGGTAAAGCCTTGGCGTCCTGACCTCTAGCGCTTGCTAGCTAACTGTGGGTCTAGACAAATTGTTTAAACTCATCTGCTAAATGGGGATAATACTAGCACTTATCTCACAGGGTTCTTGTGAGAATCAAATGAGGTAATAAAGCACCTTGCCGACCTTAAATCTCTATATGTTGTTGTCACATCTTCCTGACCCCCTATTTGGGGTTTTCTTGGCAAAGATACTGTAGTGATTTGCCATTTCCTTCTCCAGCTCATTTTACAAATGAGGAAACTGAGGCAAATAGGGCTAAGTGACTTGCCCAGGGTCATATGGCTGGTAAGTGTCTGAGGTCAGATTTGAGCTAAGGAAGAGGAGTCTTCTGACTCCAGGCACGGAGCTCTAGCCACTGTGCCACCTAGTTGCTTCAATAGGGGATATCATTATCCCCATTTTATAGGTGAAGAAAACTGAGGGCAAGTGATTTACCCAGAGTCACATAGCTAGTATATATCTGAGGCAGGATTCAAACTCAGGTCTTCCTGATTACAAGTCTGATCCTCTAGTAACCACACCACCTAGTTGCCTTTCACAGATCCCATAATATCTGAAAAGTGTCAGGGCTAATTCAAACCTTTTTCTCCCACTGTAGATATTTGCAACTTTAGTCCCCTCCCTTCTGCCATGGAGAACCAGTTGGAATTGGAATGGCCCTTCCAGGAGTTGCTGTTACTCAAAGAACGACATCAGAACTTTTACGAGAAAGCTACATTCACAAGTAAGAAACGTAGGGTGTTTGGTAGGGTATTCTGATCTCAGAAGCAAGGGGCTTTCTAAGATTGGGCAGCCAGCATAAGCCTGAAACCACACAATTGATTCTGCTAGGTAGGACCCTCCTATTAATCTAGAACACAATCATTCCTCACCTCTGGAACTGCTGGATGGCCACAGAGGACTGTTAAGAAGTAAGTCAAGGGGGATGAACCAGGATACTGACTAATGGGTAAGCAGACTTTAGTCAAAGGGGTTGGAGAGTCACCAAACTGGTTTTTCTTTTGTTTCTTCTATGCCTTAAATTAACCAGGATTTTGCAAATGTGGGACTCGCCCAAGTAATTACCATTCTGGCTAACCTGGAATTACTTATATTTGATAGATTTGATTTGCAGAGCTAATATAACAAATGAAAAATGATAGAATTTCTGAAAAAAATCATTTGCACATATTCAAGATAACATTTTATATCAGTGTCATTTTAACGTGATATTTGTATCCCCATACTTTGTCTTCTCAGTCAACAGAAGACTTCATTAATGTAAAACACAAGGAACTAGGGAGAAATGGCCTTTGAATTCAGCTGGTCTGGGGCATCCAACATTTTTTAAAAATCACATTTTTTTAAAAAACCATATTTTAAAAAATTCATTTTTATTTTAAATTAGTCACCAAAAAAAGAAAGCCTTTTGATATATATAGCAGAACATGAAAAGAGAACTATATATGAAACAGAATCTGTTTCATTCCACATTTTTAAAAAATATGTTAATAAAGTCCACATATCACTTTTAAAACTATGCTGCTTTTCTGTGCTTCCTCCTAAGTTTCCAGTGCATTTTAAAAAATGTTTCAATGGCACTATTTTTTTCATCAGTATTGTTAACTCTCTCTTTCCTCCTAACTAAAAAAAATTGGCAGGGGGGGCTAGGCAGTGGGGTTAAGTGACTTGCTCAGGGTCACACAGCTAGTAAGTGTTATGTGTCTGAGGCTGGATTTGAACTCAGGTCCTCCTGAATCCAGGGCTGGTGCTGTACCTACTGTGCCACCTAGCTACCCCTTCACTAAAAAATTGAGAAAAGAAAAAATAAAATAAAACTTGCAACAGATAAGCACAGTCAAGCAGAATGAATCCATGCAGTGGTCGTATCCAAGAATATCTGTCTTTTTCTGCTTCTCAAGTCCAGTCCAGCCCGGGACAACATACTTAATCAGAAGTCCTCTGGAGATATGGCTGGTCATTGCATTGATCAGAGTTTTTACCTATTTCCAAGTTCTTCTTCTTTACAATAGTGTTATCCTTATAGGAATTGTTTTCCTAGGTGCACTCACTTACCTGCATCAGTTCATACCACCCACCCAAGATTCTCCGCCATTATAGCTTTCATCTTTAGTACTATTCCATTCCATTCCATTCATGCTTCACAAAGTATTTAGCCATTCTGCAATTGATAGGTGCCCCACCATTAAATTCTAGTCCTTCCCTTTTCTTTCCTTCTATTGTCTCCTTGACTTAAGTGCATTTCTCCTTGGTCTTTCTGGTCTGAAATGTCCACATTTGTAAAATGAAGGGTGGGACTAGATGGTCTTCCAGCTCTTAATCTATGGTCTAGGGATATTGTTATCCTTGGGATGTATGCCACGGGATGATTATTAAACCAAGGAGGCTTTAAGAGTGGTTTCAGATCAGGGGGAAATTCCTAATATGTTTCAGAGAATCTTTTTTTTTTAATGAGGCATTGATATCGCAGACTGAGAAGAGTATATCTTTCTGAAGACAATGCTGGCTGTCCAGACTGTATCCACAATAACCAAAATGAGTATTAATCTGTCTATAAAAGGAGAGCACTTTAATTAGGTTGCTGGTTATATATTTCTTTTGATTTTGGTTTTTCCAATTCTCCCTAAAATGAAGGTACTGATTGATTGCCACAGCTGTGGATTTCCTTTATTTGCAAGGCCAAAGAGGGAAATGTTTCCCTTCAGAAATCAGAGGATTGAACTTATGGCATGCAATTATATAATGTTTACACTTACAGAAAATCTTGTTTCAATCGATGCTGTCAATAATGTATGGCTGGAAATGTGTCATCCCTATTTCATTGCCTACTATGTTGCAGATGAGGAAACAGAGTCAGAGATCTCAGTGACTTGTCCATGTTTAGTTGTCTTTACTAGGTGGCAAAGATGGTGCTTGAACTCAAGTCACTAGACCCTCAGTTTCTTTAGGACAGTATAGATGTGTTCTGGAAGTTCCTCTCATGTAGCCCCCGAAACACAACAATAACAAAAAACTGTTAGAGTCTGGCAAGAGCCTCTGTTGGTATAAGATAGGTTGGGCCAGCTCCAGGCCCATCTTGGGTATTTAATTATCAGTAGTATTAAAATGATAGTATTAAAGTCAGTAGTATTAAAAATAGTATTAAAATGGTAGTATTAAAATCCTTATAATGGGAATTTACTTACAGAATAATGACATGGGGTGGATTCTGATCAGCTCCCTCTCAGAGAGCACAGTATTTTCCCAGTTCTATGATGTCCCTGTTAGGTAACATTGTACATTCTCGTTATTTGTGTCCTAGCCCCATGAGGGTAGAGACTGATTGGGACTTATCTAAACTTTGTATTCCCCATCAACCTCCCCAGTACCTATTGTAATGCTATATGGGCAGTAGGCACTTAATGAATGTTTGTTGAATGAATGTGGTTTATCATGGAGCTTTCCAGGGAACTAGTTAGGAGGAAGTAATGTAGATTCCTGTGTTTTTAGGCAGTGTTCAAATATTTTAACTTTGGTTTGTGAAAAGACTTGATTCCTCATTCCAAGTTAACAGCAGATGAAGAGAGTTTTCCCCAAAAAACTTTCCTACCACAGTGTGGTTTATATGAAATCAAACAGGAGCCTGAAAACTGATTAGTTTTTATAAGTGATTTTATAGGTGTGGGGAACTCCCAGTACCCTGGAGTACCAGGCAAGGTGAAGTGAGTTGACTGTGAAGACAACATAGCATAGGGCCTGGCACACAGCAGGCACTTAATAAATGTTTATTGATTAATTGATGTCAGAGGCAGGTAGCCAATGTCTTTCTGCCTCCATCCAACTCTCTCTCCCCTATGGCATACCGCCTCAACTGATGACTGAGCCAAAAATGAAACCTTCATGTTTTAATGAATTTTATACCAAAATCGGATATTTAGAAACATCAGGATTTGGCTAAATTCATAAAACTTTCATTTCTTTGACACATTCCCTTCTTTGGATATCTGTTCACCATGGCAATGTGTCATTGAAGCAAATGGACATTTTTCCATTTGGTTTCTCTTTACAGGGTTATCTCCAAGCCATCAAGGATGTCAGTGGTTGAGTAAAGCTTCTAAGTTGGAAGAGTTATCAGAGACAACTTCCTTACTTGGGTCTTTGGATAGAGCTCAGAGTCAGTTCACCCTCAGAACAGGAATTGCAGTAGGCGTCAGTACATATATTTACCCTCCTCTCTTCAGATGTGCTAGGCGGCCCAAGCAGAAGGTGACAAAAACATCTGCCAGCGGGATGTGACCTCATCTGGCTCAGGCTAGGTTGCGCAAGTTAACTGGAAACAACAAATGTAACATGGGTGTGTCTGCCCCAAGGTGGATTCTATTATTAGAACAAGAATCTTTGGGGTTAATAATAATGGTATTTGGAGTGGCTGTGGGGCCTAGCAGGCCTTAAAAGCCTGTAAGATCAAATCCCGTCTCTGAGGGGTAAGGCTGGGTGTGCCTTTACAAGTCATTCATCCTCTTGGTGTTCTACTATTGCTACATCCTCACCTTCTACTGATGAAATCACAAGTCCAGTCCCTAATCCTGTCCTACCTAGGGTAGAGTTTGGGATCTGAGGGCAGGAAGAACTGAGTTCACACCTAGCCAGCTTACTCACCATGTGACCCTAAACAAGGCATTCTCAACCTCTGTCTGCCTCAATTTCCTTACCCATAAAATGAGCATAATAATAATAATAATACGTAACTACCAGGGTTGTTGTGAGGATAAAATGAGATAATATTTGTAAAGCATTTTGTAAACTTTGAAGTGCTATATAAATGTTAGATATGACCTATACGATCCAGTATTACCTTGAATTTGGTACAAGGCAGGCCTTACCACAGAAGCCATCTAGGGAAATTACCGGAAATATCAGAAAGACTTGCTTCTGCTTATGATACGGTACTAGCACATAGGCGGTACTAGCACATAGGCGCTAAAGGTGGTTAAGTTCCAGGGATGTGGTTAGTAGCAGTAGGACTTGGGAAACAAACCTGCGTACATTACCCAAGAGACAGCTTTGGGAGTGGGAACAGAGCAAAGAGGCAGTTTCATTGTACTCACCTTCACAGTTTTGCTCCTCATCAGTCTGGGATTTTTCCACTCATCCATGCTATCATATTGATTCTAGTAATACTTCCAAACATCCTCGATTTGGGGGGGATAGATTTGTACTGCTCTGGGTCTGAGAAAGGTCTTCATGAGTTGCACCGGCCAAAACAAACAAAATTCTTTCTTCACCTGCTGATGAACCTCTCCAAACTTAAGTGAAAGACATCTGGGCTTCTCTAACTTGGTGGTACCTGCCAGAGCTATCCTCTGATAGAGTTCCTCTATCATTGCCTTCAAGAATGCAAGGTTCCCTCTCTGTCATATGGAGGCATCTCAAAAAGGCTTCATTGAAAGTGGTGGTGAGATAGCAATTAGAAATATGTGTGTGTGTATGTATATTAAAAATATATATATATATATATATATACATACATGCATACATACATACATCAAATGTGTCCCCTTAATCAAAGGATTTGCTCTGTGAAGTTTGGATTCAGTCAAAGGGCCACACTTGAGGACCTAGAGGGCCACATGTGGCCTCAAGGCCACAGGTTCCCCACCGCTGGGCTAGACCACTTCACGCTTCCCCCCAAAATGTATTAGTGTCCTTGTTTTCCCACGGCCTCTCTCTCCATCTTTTGTCATTTTGCCTTTTTTTGGGTCAACTTTGCCAATATGGTGTGTATGAGGTAGTACTTCTGAGTTTTCAGATGCATGTCTTTAATTTTTAGTAACTTAGAGCATTTTTCATATGGCTATTGATAACTTGAATTTCATCCTCTGAAAATTGCCCATTCATGTCTGATGACCATTTCATCATTGGGAAATGACTCTTACTCTTATACATTTGAATCAGTTCCCTATGTATCTTAGAAATGAGACCTTTATCAGAGAAACTTGCTGTAAAGATTCCCTTCCTCCATCTTCCCCCCCCCCGCCCCCAACTTTTCCTGCTTCTCTTCTAAGTTTAGCTGAATTGGTTTTGCCTGTGCACAAACCTTTTAAATTTATTTTATCAAGCTTGTCTATTTTACTTTCTCTAAACCTCTCTATCTCTTATCTGGTCATGAATTCTCCTTCATATATCTGAAAAGTAATTTCTTCCATGCTCCTCTAATTGGTTTTTTATGTTGCCCTTTATGTCTAAATTATGTTGCTATTTGAAGCATGTCTTGGTATACAGTTAGTCTAGACTTAGTTTCTGCCAGACTGCTGTCTAGATTTCACAGCAGTTTTTGTTGAATAAGTTCTTGCCCCAGTAGATGAGATCTTTGGGCTGTTCAAACTAGAATCCTATATTCTATGCACAATATACAATAGTCTATATATTCTATAAACAATACACAATATATTCTATATATTGTGTATCTAATCTCTTCCACTGATTAACCTCTCTGTTACTCAGGACCAAATTCTTGTGATGATCATGACTTTGTAGTATAGTTTGAGATCAGATACTTTACTGCTAGGCCCCCTTTCTTCTCATTTTTTTTTTCCATTAATTCCCTTGAGATTCTTGATTTTTTGTTCCTTTGGATGAATTTTGTTATTATTTTTTCCAATTCTACAAAGTAATTCTTTGGTAATTTTATTGATATGGCACTGAAAAAAGCTAATTAAGTTGTATTGTCACTTTTTTAAAATGTTGACTTGGCCTACCCAAGAGCAATTAATATTTGTTCAATTATTTTGATCTGTAAAGTTCTTATATGTGTCTTGACAGACTCCCAAATATTTTAAACTTTCTATAGTTATTTTAATAAGAAATGGAATTTCTCTTCCTATCTCTTCCTGCTGGGTTTTGTTGGTAATATACAGAAATGTTGATTATTTGTGTGGGTTTAATTTGAAGTTCATCTATTTCGTTTAGATTATAAGTTTTGTTGGCACATAATTGGGGGAAATAGTTCCTAATAATTTTTAAAATTTTCTTTTCTACTGGTTGTGAATTTATCCTTTTCATTTTTGATACTGGTAATTTGGAGTTTTTTCATTCTGTAAGTTCTGTAAGTTTTATTTTATTTTTTAAAAATTATAATTAGGGGCAGCTAGGTGATGAAGTAGATAGAGCTCCAGCCTTGGAGTCAGGAGGACCTGAGTTCAAATCTGGCCTCAGACACTTGATAGTTACTAGCTGTGTGACCCTGGGCAAGTCACTTAACCCTGATTGCCTCACCAAAAAGGAAAAAAAATTTAATTATAATATCTTCAATCAATAGAAATCTACCTTCTCTCTTTCCTATTCTAATTCCTCCCCACCCAAATGAGAATGAAAGAAAAACATTATAAAAATCATTATGAACATGTGTGGTTAAACAAAGCAAATGTCCACATTGGCCACGTACCACAAAATATTGTCTTGTTCTGGATAGCATTTTCATGTAGAGAGGGGTCTATGCGTAGGAAAGCCTGTCTTTGTGTGGCTTGAAGAGGGGCAGAATAGACATTTCTAGCCCCTTCTTCTCCAGGGAGACTTTAATTCCTGCTAGGAGGGGAAGCCAGAGGTGGGGCCAGAGGTTACCACTCTTGCTGTACTCAGAGAATGGGGTACCTGGCTGGAATTATGCCTATCTGCTCCCTTAAATATTATTAGTTTAGGGGATATGATGTCATCATTCTGGTCACTTTGTCATTTGGGAGGAAAGGGAGACACCCAAGATCTATATCTAAGGCTTGACCCATTTCACACCAACTACCAATTCCCTAAGAACTATGGCAAGCTCCCCTTGATTCTGGGATTCCTTCCCTGGTTATCACACTGCAGGCTTCAGCCTGGGTGGGAGGCTCAAGCAGAGTCTGCACTGCTCTGCTCCTGGGGTCAGCACAGCTCCCATTGGCTTCTGACCTTGTTTATTGATCAGCATACAGCTAATGCCTGCAACTCCTCCTTTTCATCATCCCTCATCGCAGTCCCCCACAGGGGCTGCTAGGCCGCACAATGGATAGAGCGCTGGGCCTAGAGTCAGGAAGACCCATCTTCATGGGTTCAAATCTGGCCCAAACACTTACTAGCTGTGTGGCCCTGGGTAAGTTACTTAACTCTGTTTGCCTCAGTTTCCCCATCTGTTAGATGAGCTGGAGGAGGAAATGGCAAACCAATCAGGTATTTTTGCCAGAAAAATCCCAAAAAGAGTTCACAAAGAGTCAGACGTGACTAAACAACAGCAAAGTCAGAGATCTCATCAGTCCACCCTGGATCTGTGACCAGGAACTGGGTCGTGACAGAGCTGCCAGGTGGTTCCCTTTCCTGCACCCTGCACTAATGCAGGGACTTCCCAGGACTTCTGCCTGCCCCAATACTCTTTCAGTGCCCGGGTGCTGGAAAGTTCCAGCTAACCCTTGGCTAACCCTGTCTCCAGGATTGGCAAGCCAAGCCCGAATCGGGCTTGCCGACCCACAATCCCTGACTATAAATTTTGTCTTGGGTTTCCCATCAGATTTCAGTCTGGAGCACTTTCTAGATCAGGCCTGCACAACCAGCCTGATGCTTAAGGCCCCCAGGCAAGCCAAAGGGTTTCAATAGACCTGGGAAAAATGTAGAGGAAAATATCCTTTGTATGGAGAAGAAATCTTTTGACGTGGACCATAAGCAGCCTGCAGGTTGCAGGTTGTGCAGGCCTGTTCGAGATCATAGTGCAGGAGGCCTAGTGGAGAACCTTGGCTGTTCTCTGTTGGCACTCTCCTGTCTCAACTCAGCTCCTTCCCAAGAGGGCTTTTCAATCCTTAATAATTATAATTCCTGGATAGGCTGCAGACATTACGGAGGTGAGAAACACACCAAAGACCTAGAATACTCCCAAATAACCCTGTAGATTAGTTTTAGCTTCTCTGCCGTTCTCGTCATTAAGACCGGGTCTTCACACCTATAGTTCTTCAGGCCATTCAGGCAAACTTTTTTCTCATCCTCAACTATTGAGGATGCTAAGGAATGTTTGCCTTTAATGAGGTATATACTAAGGCAGTTGTATGAGCAGTTTTGTTTGTTTCAGAAAGGAAACTAGTAAAGGTGATGTATGTTAACTGATACATTAATATCACTATATTCATTAATATATGTTCACATTAATGCATAGTAAAATATATTAATACTTAACACTGGGTAAACCCACCCCCAAAGCCCTAAACTATCACTACCTTTATGAGCCAACTATAGTCAAGTATATGATGAATTATGTTAACATTTTGTGATATGCCATTATCCCCTGTGGCAGTTTTTGATGTAGTTTCAATTTAGCACTTGATGAAAGCCTTTGTCTGGAAATCTAAAAAGTTTAAATTCACCTCATATACTGCCCTATTCCAAACCCGAAATACCATAGAAATGTTTAGATTGTCGAGAGACATTATGATTGCCTTATCTTACAAAGCTTGCATTTAATGGGATTAGATGCTGGACAAGGGACGATGTTCAACTGGTCCTATTCTCTTGCAGTCTTTTTATTGTCCAGGCCAGAAGTTCAGGATACCTTCTATGTGATCCAGTCCTCTATATAAGCTATAGCAAGTGGAGAAGATCCCATTGTATTAGCCAAACCAATGTGGTCATTTTCTTATACGCAATTGTTATCGCTTACTGGGTCCGTAATTCGAAAGTACACAGGGCCTACTTTCAGGTTCTTTTCACTCTAGTGTGCAGATTATTCAGTATAAATGATGTTTTTGTGGATACAGAAAGTGAAGTGGATTTACTGTACAGCTTTGCCAAGTGTTCGGGACTGCAGCTGATCTTTGGCGTCAATGCCTTAATAAGGAAAAGTAATTTGCAGTGGGACGACTCAAATGCCAAACTGTTGTTGAAGTACTGCACCTCCCAGAAGTATGACATTTCCTGGGAACTCGGCAATGGTAAGTACATGGAGCATTTCATCGATCAAGGAAGACTCTTTTCATTTTATTATTATTATTATATCATATTTTCTTTTTCCCAATTACATGTTAAAGCAATTAAAAAATTTTTTTTAAAGTTTTGAGTTCCAAATTCTACCCCTACCTCCTTTTCTCTTTCCCCTCTTCCCCAGGGAGTACTCTTTAGCATCATATAACACAATTTGCTTGATTACAATAATAGCCATCACTTATAAAGCACTTTAAAGTTTACAAAGTGCTTTCTACATTTTATCCCCACAAAAACCCTGGAAAGAAGGTGCTATTTTTGTCTCCATTTTACAGACAAGGAAACTGAGGCAGACAGAGTGACTTGCTTAGGGTCGTCACAGACCACATAAGTGTCTGAAACTGGATTTGAACTTAGGTCTTCCTGCCTCTAGGTCCGGTGCTCTATCCACTTCGCCGGCCAGCTGCCTATATGATTTTCCTTTCTGTTGAATAGAGATGCTTTTTGAAATTGCATATAGAAAATAATTCCCCTATATCTTCTTGGATCCACTGCTGAACCCATCTTATGTTCTGCTTGGCTGGAGAATTACTTAACTGGGGCTGGCAACTTCCACATCTCCTATTTTTAGAAAGTCCTTTTGGTTTTCAGAGCTACTCATAGCTGACTCCCAACAAAATGTTTAAGTAGGCAATTTATTTTCAGCCTTCCATCTCCTTTTCTCCTCACTGACACAGCATCCTCCACTCCCTATCTCACCCCCAGCACCTGAAAACCTGAGTACCCTGATCCTATCCTGCAAGCTCTCTTGGGGTCCTTGGTATGAAGCCGCCCTTCCCTTAGGGCCATATAGCATCCCATGCTTTATTTCTCCCTTCCAGAGAGTCCTGACTTCTGCTAGGGAGTTGGTAAACTGTTTCTAGATATTATGTTAATGGTTAGCTTTCCTGTGTAGGCCCAGCCTGATTCAGGTAAGTCCAGTGCTTGAATTTGGAGGTGGAACAAAATGAGACACTTATGGTCCATCTAAGAATGGAGTCCATCCCAAAAGATGTTTACTTAATCACATTACAGAAAGGGTATTCAGCAAAGGAACAACATTGATTTAGTTGACCATAACTTTTCGACCTCTATGTTTACCATGCTGGTCTGCCTGAGGGAATTGCTGCTGATTCCTGGTGTTGGCTTTTTGCACCTAGATTAGATCCTTGGTAGCTTTCTTCTTACACCTCTCCTTCCCTTCTCTGACAAACTCCTTGAAAACTCAACATCTGTTTCTCTGTTCTCACTACCTCTTGAACCCATGGCACTTCCAACTTCACCATTCAACTGAACTTGCCCTCTCCAAAGTCACCAATAGTCTCTTAATTGACAAATAGAATGACTTTTTCTCAGTCCTTATCCTTGACCCCTCTGCTGATAGACCTTGGATTTATAACTGCCCTAGATGACCCTGCTGATTACCTTGACCTCTCTCATCTTTGGGTTTTTGAGACCCTCCCTCTACCTGTCTGACCATTCTTCCTCAATCTCTTTTGCTGGATCTTCATTTAAGACAGGCACACTAGCTGGGTGTGTCCCTAAGGCCCTCTCCTGGGCCTCTCACTTCTTTCCTTTCTGTACTCTATCACTCAGTGGTCCCATCAGCTTCCATAGATTCAGTGATCATCTCTGTTCAGACAATTCTGACATCTATTTATCCAGTCCTAATCTCTCTTCTGAGCTCCAATCCCAATGTCTTCAACTGCTTGTTGGACCTTTCAAAATAGATGTCCCATGGCCGTCTTAAATTCAACATGTCCAAAAAACAAAACGCATTATCTTTGCCTCCAAATCCGCCCCCATTCTAAAGTCCCTCATTATTTGAGGGTACCTCCATCCTCCATGTCATCCGGGCTCATTCTCACCCACCCCACATATCCAATCCGTTGCCAACAATCATGAAAAAATTGTCCAAATCTCTAATAATAACAGAAATGCAAATTAAAACAACCCTGGCATTTCATCCCATATTTATCAAATTGGCAAAGATAATAAAAATTGAAATAATTGATATTGAAGGCTTTTCAGAAATACCCTGATGGAGCTGAGAACTGGTCCAGCGGTTCTGGGAAATAATTTGGAATTATGTGAGAAAAGTCACTAAACTGTTCATCCACTTTGATTCAGTGATCCCACTCCTGAGCATGTACGTCGAAGACGTCAAAGACAGAAGAGGGGTTCATATCTACTAAAATATTAATATTAGCATTTTTTTTGCAATGGTTAAAAAAGAAACTTTTCAGTTGGTAAATGGTTCATCAAGTTGTGGTATATGAATGTAATGGAATACTCTTTGACTTGTCCAGGATCAGACAATTAGTAAATGTCTAAGTGTGGATTTGAACTCAGATCTTCCTGACCCCAGGCCCAGCTCTGTATCAGCTGCAGCACCTCAGCCGCCTCTCAGACAGGAGATAAGGAAAGCTATTTCATATCTCTTGATGGTAAAGTGAGGGACTATGGATGCAGAATGTTGCTTAAGCAATCAGATGCAGTCACTTTGTTGGTTAGTTTTACCTACTTACTTTTCTTTGCTGGAAGGGAGGGCTCAATGCCAGCGGGGAAAGGGTAGTATATCAGCAGATGCCTGTGGTTAAAAAACAAATTGTACTCCTTCACATTTATCCATTATATAATGTGGACAGTCAGAGTAACAATTGAGATGAACCTTAGGTTCATCTACTCCAGCCACACACACACACACACACACACACACACACACACACACACTCTTTCTTTACAGATGAAGGACACTTTGGGACCTCAGAAAGGTTTAAGCTTGACCAAGGTCACAAAGCCAGTTGGTGACCTAATTAGGAAGAGAATACAGGCCTCCTAATTTATTGTCTCATGCTCTTTCCACCACCCAATATCATGATATGAGTACATATTATGTTCTCATGTTGCATAGGCCAATCATGGAAGACAAAGGCCCCAAGTTGATTTGTAATGGCCCAAGCCAGGAGTGACAGACATCAGATCACATTCCTTGGAAGATGGAAAAATGGATGAAATTTAATTGAGCACTTCCTCAGCTCCCTTTTCCCCATCTGTCCAAAAACTTCCCATAACTCCTAGACATTAGTACTTTCATGCAATTCTGATTGTCAAAGTAAAAACACTTTCATAGTGTAAGGTTGATTCAAAAGGCTTTCCAAATAGCAAACTTGTGAGGGAGGTAGTCTTCTTTTATCCCTATAAGGAAAATGGGACACAGAATCTAGGTCCCAGTGTTTGAGCTAGAAATGGAAGCTGGGATTTTGATTTTTTCTGATTTCATGTCTGGTATTCTTTCCAAAGATATTTTGACATCCCATCACTTCACTTGCTCCATGTGCCCAAATTGACTTTTTAATAAATTTTTTTCCGACTAATAACTGTTTATTTTCTCTTGCTCCTGCCTGCTTTTCTCCCATTCAGAAAAAGAAGAAAAAACAAAGCCCTTGTAACAAATAGTCAAGCAAAACAAGTTCCCACATTGACCATGACCAAACATATATGTTTCATTCTACGCCCGAGTCCATCACCTTTCTGTCAGGAGGTGGTGGAATATACCTTTTGACACAGAGATACCACTACTAGTTCTATACCACAAAGGGATTGACATAAAAGAGGAAAAGGACTCATCTGCACAACAGTATTCCTAGATGTTTTGTGGTGGCAAAGAACAAGAGCCTAAGGGGATCTCCATCATTTGGGGGAATGGCTGAAAAAAATTGTGATATGTGAATGCGAAGGAATACTGTAAGAAATCGTGAAAAGAATGGTTTCACAAAAGCCTGGGAAGACTTGTAGAAATTGATGCAAAAGAAAGTGAGTTCTGAGAACCAAGAGAAAAATTTATCCTTCCCCCCCAAAAATTACAAAAACAAATAACTTTGAAAGATTTAGGAAATCTTATGGCACAATGACCAAACATGATACCAGAGGAACAATGCTGTATACTACCCCAAATTAACTTTTCAGCCCTCTGACTACCCTTAACTTATCGAGCCCCCAAACAATCAACTCATGCTTCAGGCCAATCTGATAGCTAGATGATTGAACTCAATTTTGACTGTACTGTAGATGCTAGGTATGAAAGCCACAGAGATTAGGTTTCATCCTTTTAAAGAGCTGATGCATTTTTGAATAGTAGCTTTTAAATTCAAATCATTTTCCATTTCAAGGAGATAAGAAAGCCCTTCTATTCCCCAGTTTTCCCTGGCCTTACATTGGATTTCACAGCTAGGTAATGTTTTCTTTGTTGTGTTACAATTGTTTTAAAGAGAATTTAATCTCCTTTAGAATCTAGAAATCATCTTGCCTTTATGGAAGATGATATACATTTTGGAGATTAGCAGTTACCTATGGACAATTGTTGTCTTTCAGAACCTAACAGTTTCAGGAAGAAATCTGGCATGTATATTAATGGGTCCCAACTAGGCAAAGACTTTATTAAATTTCATTCACTTCTAAAAAGATACGATTTAAGAAATGCAAAACTCTTTGGACCCGATATTGGTCAACTTCGGAACAGCAATGATACGTTGCTGAGGAGGTAAGAAAGGCTTTTTTTCTTTTTTACCTAAAAGAAGCAAAGGCCCAGGTTCAGGCTGGTACAACTATTTGCTAGAAGGAAGAAGGCTTTTCTTCTTGTAGGGAGCACAGGGGTGGCATCCACTTTAGTGGAGCTGGAGGAAGTGAGAAGCAAATGGGAATTGCCCCTCAGTTAGAAACTTTGCTGAAGTGGGACAGTTGAGGTGGGGCCAGCTTTGGCAAGTATACGGAGGGGCATGGTACCTTTACCAGAGATCTCCAGGGAATCATCATCGTAATGACTAACATTAATACAGGGTGTCTGTCCCCAAATTCCTCTTGCCCTTTCAAGCTACTGAGGCCTTAAAGTTTGCAAGGTACTTAAAAATATTATCTCATTTGCTCCCCACAAGCCCGGAAGGGAAGTACTATTATTATCTCCATTTTACAAATTTACAAATGAGGAAACTGAGGCAAACAGAGGTTAAGTGGCTTGCCCAAGGTCACTCAGATAGTGTCTGAAGTCGGATTTGAACTCAGGATTTCATGACTCCAAGTCCAACACTCCATGCACTGTGTACCCCTTAGCCTCGATACCTCTGGAATGTCCTAGATTCTATTTCCAGATTTAATAACCAGCTCATTGACTGGGTTTGTTAATAAACATCATTAGAAACCAATTCTAGCATTTTCATGTGCGGACTGAGAAATGACATAATGATGGCTATTTGTTTTTAGCTTCCTGGAAGTCGGGGGAGGAGTAATTGATGCAGTCACATGGCATCAGTAAGTGTATTTTCTGTTCTTAAAACTATTAGAAAAGATTGCTAGTCATCTGTGATCCTAATTTTCTATTCTATACTTCATATAGAAAAGTCATTTCCACATTTATTTTTTAATGTTTTTTATTTTCCCTGATTCCATGCAAAAACAATTTTTAACACTTTTTAAAAGGTTTGAGTTCCAAATTCTATCCCTCTGCCCCTCCCTTAGTCCTTCCCTGAAATGGTAAGCAATCTGTTATAGGTTACACATGTGAAATCGTGTCAAGATTTCCATGTTACTCATTTTGGCTTCCACACTTACTGAGCACCTACTGTCTGCAAGGTGGCATGCCGAGTGCTAGGGATGTTTCCATGGCCCCACATCCCCCTCATGTCAGTCTGCCGTGGTGACTACATCCAATAGGCTGAAAGCTTTCCTCTGTGCCTTTTTACATTTTGTGGGTACCCAGTGCAGCACCTTGGCTTAGGGGGAATGTGAAGATTATAAACTCTCCAAGGGCAGGGACCATGTCTTTTGGTTCTACATCACCTTCATTTCCTGAGGGTCTTCCCCTCCCAGATCTATTTTTTTTTTTTTGGTAAGAGGCCATCCTTTGCCCCATTTTTAAAGCCTTAATCACTGAATGGGCACTGCCTCAGTCAAACTGAGGCCTGTTAAAGACATTAGCTTGAAAAGGACAAGGTTCCCCACTGCATCCTGGGCCATCTCCCATTGTCTTGATCTATATCTGGTACTGCACCCAGATGGGCTCCAGAGGAGAAAGTGAGGCTGGTGATTTGGCACAGCCCTGCCTCGCTTAAATCCAATTCACTTGTATGTCATGGCGTCACCTCCCTGATGTCATGGTCCTCTTCAAGCATGTAGGACAGACAGCAGCAGCAGCACCTTCATTTCCATGGACAAATCTCCTTCCTTTCCCACCCTGAGAACCATTCCCCATTGCAAAGAATCAAAAAAGAAAGACAAAGCAGGTAAGCCAGTCAGTGGAATCTGAGAGCGTCTTCAATGTTCTGTACCCAGAGTCCCCACCTCCAAAGAGAAAAGGAGGTTCTCATCTGCTCTTTGGAGGCCCATGCCTTTTAATTTAGTTTTGTATCTCCCTCTGTGCCTAGAATGGTGCCTGGTACAAAGCAAGCAATATAGGTTTGATAAATGAATTTAACAGTCATGAGGTTAGTTGAGATGATTGTGCTACTCAAGCTTGGCTGGTCATACAGAGATGGCCAAATGAGGAAGAAAATTATGAAATGCCCACGTTCTGATATTGAGTAGTAGGGTAAGCATGGCTGGTTTCCATCAGAATAAAAATTTCTCTACTTTTAAAAAAATCTATTTATATTACATGTATGTGTGTGTATTGCAGCTACTATATGGATGGACGAAATGCTACCCAAGAGGATTTTTTAAACCCTAAAGTGTTGGATACATTTATTTTCTCAGCACAACAATTTTACAGGTACTTTTTTTTTCTTTTATAGAACAAAACCAAAACAAAAGTCTGTATTTTATAGACTTGCACGTTCTAAATTTATTGGTTAAAAAAGCAAATTTCCCACAAATCAAGAAACATTTCCAACTGTGCTATCAGATGGCTGACTAATGCACTTGTAGGTCAGATTTCCCCCAATTCACTGCAAAAACAAGGTCTTCAGAGAGTCTTTGTTCCTACTGAATGCATGATTGAAGCAGAGTTAGGGAGGGGTTAGCACTGCCATGCCTGCAGATGCCATCTGTAGGGCCGGACACTATGTTGCTGTCTCCACGTTTTGGAAGAGCAGTCTCATTGGAAGGGGGATTTAGGCAGCTGGGTGCCATAGTGGATGGAACAGAGTCGGGAAGTCTAACTCCTAGCTTCATGATCCTGGCCAAGTCACTCATCTCCTCTAAGCCTCAGTTTCCCCATCCACGTGATGGTGATGATAATAATAGCACCTACCTCCCAGGGTTGTTGTGAGGATACTATTTGTAAAGTTTCTGCAATCCTTAGAGTGCTATAGAAACGCTACCATCATTATCATCATCATTATTAGACATATTCTTCCCTCAGAGTCAAAGATAAATGTTGCAGAGAGAGTGAGGAAAAAACAATTAGATATGTCAAGAAAAAATGTAATGGACATATGAAGGAAGACACTATCTGCATCTAGAAAAGAATCAATAAGTAAAAGTATAGAAAGATTTTGCATATATAGATATAGATATAGATATTTATGTCTAAGAATAGCCATCTCTAGGTGGGGTGGGTGGGGAGAAAGAAAGGGAAAAAAAATTTACATGGTAACTTTACGTTCAAAAGGAATAGCAAGTTGTACATAATAAATTTGCAGTGCAAACTTTTTAAAATTATTGTATTGTGTTATGGAAGTGCTTGTTTTATTCCATAAATTAAAAATAAAATAAATAAACTTTTTGAAAATGTAGTGGGCTACCTCAAGGGGTTTGGAGGGTTCCTTCTGGATGGAGAGAAATGGCAAAACCAGTGGTCAGATAAGATGTAGAGTGCACTTGTCCAGATACTACTTGTCAGTCAGTTAGGAAGCAAGCTGGAATGAAGTACCTACTACGTGCCAGGCACTGTGCTGAGGAGCTCACAGTCTGTTGTTCATTTTTCATTCTCAAAGAGGACCAAGGACAGCATGTGGGTGATGACTTGCACATGAATTGGATTTAAGTGAGGCAGAGCTGCACCAAGGCATCTCAGCTCCAGAGTCTAGTGGGGAGATAAACCCAGGGCTGCAATGGATGACCTTGGCCTTTCTAAGCGATTTCAGTTGAGTGTTAAGCTGAGAAGACAGATTAATGAAGAAGACAATATGCAAGAAGCTAGGTACAGACAAGATATAGACAGGATAAATTAGAGATAATTGCAGAGGGAAGGCTCCAGCATCAAGGGGGTTCAGGAAAAGCTTTATGAAAAAGGTGGGATTTTAGCTGGGACGTGAAGGAAACCAGGGAAGCTCAGAGGGAGAAAGAAGATAGGATTACCTCTGATATTCCTTTCCACTTTAAGATTCTATAGTTCTAGAGAGGAAGAGAATTTGGAGCTCAAAATAAAAATACATTTTTAAAAATCATTCCATAATTCTGTGATTCTGTAATTATATTCTGGGTTGTAACACAAGTTTCTTTATATTCTCTTTTTCCCCATTCCCTAGTAACGGAATAAAAGTAAGTAGTTTACAAATAAAATTATCCCAAAGAATATTATTTTCAGAATTTTTTTGCTGACAGTATTATAAGCAATGTTTCTGAAAAGCCTGCAATTCACGATGGTAGGGCTTATGTGATGTGCCACAGGGATATTTCATGCCTCAAGTCATATACCCCAGCTATTTTTATTTGCAATCACCATGTGGACTTTTCTGTTCTGTAGGTGGTGAAGGAGACCAGGCCCGGCAAGAAGGTTTGGTTGGGAGAGACAAGCTCAGCTTATGGAGGGGGGACTCCCAAGCTGTCTGACACTTACACGGCTGGTTTTCTGTGAGTATAGTATGGCAGTGCTCATCTCCAGTTATAGACACCAAGATCGCCAGGTTTCAAATTACCCTATGTCCCCACATCTACCCTTTGTGCCAAAAAAACCTGTACAAAGAATGCCCTTTATGGTGAAGGATGATACAGTGGGTTTAATCACAGATTTGGGTGAAGACAATGGATTGACTATAACTAGTGCTTTCCACACTGTATAGACTCAAAGGTAGTTAGTTATTACAAGAAGAAAATCCAAGCTTTTTAAAATTTTTGTACTTTAGCTTATGTCATATATAAGCAAAAGATTCATTCCTCTAAGTAACTGCACTTAAAAAGAGTGTATCTAAGAGTTTTAAATTTGAAAACATTGCTTGCAATATACACACACCCACACCCATATATACAGTATATATAGTGTATATAGTTTATATATGCATACATGTGTATGGGTGGATGGATATATACACACACATATAATCAGGTATATGTATGTATGTATATGCACACGCACATGCACATATACACATACACACAGAGAGAGAAGTTCTGTGCCTGTGATGCATGTGCTGGGCCAAAAAGCCCCCTCTCTGGAGGTAAGGGAAGTAAATGAACATTTTTAAAAAATCATTTTCAATTCCTAATTCCCTTCCTTTAGGGCCCTCCTTCACCCATTGAAAAGCAAGAAATACAATACTCATTATACATGTGAAGTCATGCAAATACATTTCTATACTGGCCACGTTTTAAAAGAAAAAATAAAGTGAAAGAAATTATGCCTCTGTCTGCACACAGAGTAAATAAGTATTTATTAAGTGCCTGTTATGTGCTAGACACTTTACAAATATTGTCTTGTTTGATCCTCAGGACAACCCTGAGGTATAAGGGCTATTATTATCCCCATTTTACAGTTCAGGAAACTGAGGCAATCAGCAGTTAAATGACTTGCCCAGGGTCATGAGTTAGTAAGTGTCTACATGTGAACTCAGGTCTTTTTCTGCCTCCAGGGCCAGGATTGCCTACTGCTGTGCCTCTAGAAGGGTTAGGAGCCCAGGAGCCCAACTGTTCTCTAAGACACCAGCCCAGAGTTCATGGTTTGATGGCTGACATCACGGAATCACAAAGATTAAAGCAGGGAGGGGCTTTTGTGGACACCTAGTCCAACCCATACATGAAAGGAGATGCTATTTTTAGCAAGGGACTCTCCAGGTTCCCCTGGAAGACCTCCAACGTGCAGGGAAACCATTCTACTTGGGGTGGGGGGAGCAGCTCTAATCGTTAGGAAGTTTTAACTGACATCAAGCCCAAATTGACCTCTTTAATTTTTTAACTAAATTTAATTTTTTTCAATGAACAAAAATCCATTCTCTCTCCTTCCCACATCCCATTGAAAAACAACAAACAAAACTGTTTTATCAAATGCGTATAATGAGGGAAAACAAACTTCTGCATTGGCCACGTCTCCTTCTGCAGCTTGAGTCCATTGCTGTCTGTGGGGAGGCGGGAAGCATTCTTTATCATCGGTCCTCTGGAATCATGGTGGGTCATTGCACAGATCAGAGCTCTTAAGTCTTTCAGAGTGCTGTGTCTTATAGTGTTGGGGTTATTGTATATGTTGTTCTCCTGGGTCTGCTTACTTCACTCTGCATCAGTTCACACAAGTCTTCTAGGTGTCTCTGAAGTCATCACCATCATTCCTTCCAGCACAATAGTATTCCATCATAATCATATACCAGCACTTGTACAGCCATCCCCCACTACTCAGGTAGTCCTCTGTCCTCTGGAGCCATACACAACCAGTTGAATCTTTCCTCCATGGGCCAGCTTTTCAAATATTTGGACACATCTGTCATGTCCTTTCTGAGTCTTGGCTTCTCCAGCCCGAACTCATCCTGTTCCTTCAAGTGACTGCCATATGTTACAGACTGAAGGCCCTTCGTCACCCTCCTGGTTGCCCTTTTCTGGTAATGCCACAACTTACCAATGTCCTTCTTAATCCATGTTACCCAGAACAGAACATAATGCTTCAGCTGAGGCCTGATGGTGGCAGAGAAAAGTGGGATTGACACCTCCCTATTCGTGGAAGCTCTGCCCTTCTTAATGTAGCCCAAGACCCCATTTGATTTTTGGCCACCTCATCACCCTGTTGACTCTTATTGAGCTTACAATCCATCAAACCAGCTCCTCCTCTCGCTGCCATCTTGTTCAGGACCATGCCTGCCCTATCTAATGTTTGTGTTGGTGATGCTTTGTATGCACTACAAGACTAAACTGATCAGTCACATTTCCTCTTATGACATTCACTTGAGCCTGATGAGATCCCAACTATCATCCCCTGTGTCATGGCACCAGCTTGGTGTCATCTGTAAATATAATGATCGTGCCATCCATAGCTTACAAAATGTTCAGAGAGGCCCCAAAGATCCACAAAATACGGTTTTTACATAAAATACACTTCAGCCACGCCCTCTGCGTGCTTAGAGGACTCCACTTCCTTGGAAGGCCATTCATCCTGCCAAGAGCTGATTCATCACAGTTCTGTCATCCTTGGGGAAGTGCTCCTTTCTCTTTAGGTTCTAAAAACAGAACAAATAACTGTGGCGGGGGGAGGGGTGGGAATCAAGATTGTTTGTTTTAAAATTAATAAGGAAGCCCTATCGGAAATTTTTTATTGAGTGCCAAAGAATACTAATTATACCACTAACAAGAAAAGTCATGGCAAATAAAAGTCATGAATAATGTTGAAATTAAAATTATTTTTCTCATCAGAGAAACAATCCTGATGCAATTTGGTTTGGAGTAAAATGTGCAATTAGAGAAAAGTGCTCTGGGAGTCAATAGATGCGTTCTAATCCCCATTCTTCCTCTTCGTTTCTTTGAGCTTCAGTTTCTTCACCTGTGAAATGAGGGGAGGGAACCAGATGAGCTCTAAAGTCCCTTTCTCCAGTCCTAAAGTTCTCTGATCAGATCTAGGTCACTCTTTACT